CCTGGGGGAGTGGAGGATGCCCCATGTCATGCAGCTCCCCCTCCCCAAACCAGCAAGGGGGGCGGGACGCCTGGCAGGTCCCCCCTACCCCACCCCAGCATGTCAGGAACCCAGCAGGAGCAGCAAGGCCCAGCTGGCTGCCCTCCCCCGCCTGTGACACCCTGTCACCTGCCGGGTGCCCGCAGGGAGGGAGAGGGGCACGGAGGGGGATCGGCTACCTGGCTGGACTGCGGCTCTGCGAGCTCCTCCAGCGCGCTCAGCGCTCGCTTTCTGTTTTGGATGGGGGGGGGGGCTCTTCCTTGCCCCCCTCCGCCGCCGCCTCTGGAGGCTACCTTCCCCGCACGCCCCCTTGATCCGGGGCTAATAATCCTCCTGGAGCCAGCGTAGCTCCTCTGCCAGAGCCGCCTCTTCCCAGGCAGTCATGTTGCCCTGTGTATGCAGCCGGCTGTTTGCTGAAGAGGGGCGGGCTGGGGGCGGCGCTTGCAAGGGGCCGCGTTGCCACCTCACGGGAAGGCAGCGCCTCGCCTCGCCTCTCCTCTCCTCCGCGCGAGCTGCCGAGGGAGGGGCGGGCGCGCAGGGGAGGGGAGGCGGCGGCCACGGCCTCTGACTCAAGGCGAGGTATTGACACCAAGGGCTTGGGAAGCCTCACCTCCCTGGGCTCTGAGTCAGCACAGAGGGAGCAACATTTTCCCAAGCCGCCTTTTTTTGCAAAAATCGAGTTGGTCTAATAAAAGATACCACCTCTACAACCAGCCCCGATTCCCAAACTCCCCTGGCATCCTAGAAAATGACCTCAGGCAGTCATCTAGCACAACCAAGCAGGATCAGCCCCAGCTACATCATCCCAGCTAAGGCTTTAGCACAGGAGCAAGCATACAGCTGGGAAAAAATCTCATCCAGGGACTCACTTATATTCCTTTGCAGTCACCATCTGCTTGAGCACTTCCACCCCAGCCCTTGTAATGTAGGATTGCGGACTCCTTCCTCTTCCCCACCCTCTCTTTATTTTAGGTATTGATGTGCCTAGCTATTTGCTCTCCAGCTTCTGGAGTGCACCTATCACAACCCAACCACAACTGCTTGTCACTAGAAACATAAAAGCAGAAAACAGGAGTTCCCCTTCTTAAAAACAGATTCCAATGTTAAGGCAAGGTTTTGCTCTTTGTGATACCAGTGTCAATGCAGGACTCACTCCACTGGAGAGAAGGCAAGTCAGTCCAGTTAGTCTAGATTTACACCCAGGCAACTGAGATCAGAATATCTCAACACCAAAAACACAAAGGAAGCGAAAATGAGGAAATGACATTGTTTTGTGCAGATAGCACTCCAAACTGCAAGGGAGATTTACTGTTTGCAAACTGCATTCCTTACCAACATACACCCAGTACCACTCCAGCAGCCTTTAATCTTGTGAGCTGTGTTTATCGATACAAGTAGTCCCCTCGGTTTCAGTAGCACAAGTTGCACAACTCACATGACTCACATGAGTAATGATGATGCACATGAGACATGTGCCCTATAGTCCTGATCTTGTTATAAATAAGCAAAGGCATATCTTTGGGCTTGTAAGTAGCCCCACTGGCTTAACTAACAGTGTGTAAGAGGCAAGGATTTTTGTAGGTGGTATCTTTTGTTGGACAAACTGCATGGTTGTAATAGACTTAGACAAGCTTTTGAATCCAATGCATTCTTAACATTATACACATACTTAAGTCTGTTACTGAAACAGAGGCAAAATCTTTGACTCTGAAAACAAGTGATTTACCTTCAGATCCATGCAGGCCTACTTGCACACTAAAGTCAATGGAATTACTTTTGACATCCAAGCAGCCCGGATTTTACCTCATGATGTATCATTGTAAAACATTCAACACTGATAAATTATTTTTTGAAAAGCAGTTGGGTCAATTCCTGTTGCATGTACATAGGCAGAATCCACCTCACGGCAGTGGAAGTTCATCTAGGAAAAGACTGCAAGATTTGGTGCACAATTATCTGGAAATGTAGGTGTTGCAAATTTATGGAGAATAAAAAAAAATAGGTACCACTTATGAAATTCTTTCTAAATAGGTAAATCATGCTTATTGCCCAAGACTGTAGTCTAAAAGGTAGAACTGATGTAACCTGACATAACCCATATGTAAGTCTGCTGTGGTGCTCTGTTCCCCTTTCCTGCTGGTATTGAATAATAAATCTGGAACAGATAACATATTCTGCAGCAAATGATACAAGAAAGGTTACAGTACATGGTGCAAGATGCTTAATGACAGGACTAGGAATACAAGGCTAGAGGTAGAAATATTTTAGTAATCCTTCCTCCTGGGAGAATGTTTCCCAGGAAAAAACTGTTCAACCTTAACTTACATTACTTAACATTTTGCAGATTACAAACAAGGTTATATAGTATCCAAATACCTGGAGTCCGAATCAGTTTCAATTTCAGCAA